TTTTAATTTTATTGTGAATAATTTCTTTTTTAAAAAGATATTACAATTTCTAATAAATTATTGCTAGGGTATGGAAACACTGTGGAATTTTGGAGTTTATTTGTATCTGGATGTTAATCGTTGTTCAGCAACCTTACTGATAACTCTGAAAAACTCTAATAGCATGCTTGTAGAATCTCTTGGATTTTCTATATAAATAATCTCCACCTGCAAAAAATGTCAGAGATTTTGTTTCTTTTATTTTCCTCGTCCTTCTATCACTGAGTGGTGGCCTCTGAATCTGACTTCTCCCAGCTCTGCTGTGCCAGTGGGCTGGCCCTGGGCAGCTACCGCCTTGCACTGTCAGTTATAAATAAATAAAAGACCCCTTACTTTCTCCAGAGCTTTACAGTTTACAAAGCACTTTCACTTCCATTATCTCATTGATCTTTATTACCCCCACTTTACAGAAAGGGAGTCTCTCGGTGGAAAGCGCTCTGGCTCCACATCCACAGATCTAGCTGTGCAGAATACTGTGCTGTGGGACCTCAGATAGTCCCTCCCCGTCTCTGTTTCTCCCGCAAGCTACGAAGTTTGGCGAGGGATTGTCTCCGGCATTCTCAGATTCATGTTTGACGGCTTTGGGCGGGCACGAGGCTCCAGGAAGCTCTTTGAAGGCTGAAGTTCACCGATAAGAAAGGCGGGGGAGGCGTCTGGGTACACTTAGGTCCTCAGGCTGGTGCCCCTAAATGTCGTAGTGGGTGGGGAAATAATGGAAATGTCCTTGGAAGTCGGCGGGTTGATATAGATGATGGGAAGAGACTGTGTCCAGCCCGCTGTTTCCACGCGGGTTCTCCTGCCCGTTTAGAAGAACATCCTCTGGACCCGGAAAAAGAGGACGAGGTGGAGCTATAGATCGTGGGTTCCCTCCTCCGTCGCCCTCCTCCAGCCGCCGCGCTCAGTACGCACTTCGGACGCGTATGTGCAACCCCGGGCGGGGCGCTCCACGGCCAGACCGCCCCTCCACCCCCGGCTCCGCCCCAATATTGCGCAGGCGCAGGTCCTGGCTGGAGCCGGCGAACGCGCCCTCTTGTGGCGGACTGACAGATCGCACTCTTTGTTGTTGCGCTGGGGGCGGGCGAAGAGGATGGAGGAGAAAGATGTGGGTGGAGTCTGGGAGGCGATGCGACAATCAGATCGCAACGACGAGAATCTCTTTCCTTTGTCCCTCATGACAATATATAACCCCCCGTTTTAGATGCAGATGAAGAAAATCTGACCCTCAGAGATCAAGAGACAGGTTCATAGAGACAGAAGTGGAATGAGACAGAGTTGAGGAGATGATGCATTCATTCGTTCAGTCATTCATTCATTCAGCAAACATTCGCTGTGGTGGGGAGAGACAGGGACAAAGGACCAGAGGTATTAAACTGAGACATTGACGGGCCAAGATCAGGCAGAAAGCTGGGGAGACAGGTGCTGATGGCAAAATAACGGACAGAGAACCAGCTAGCTGAGAGCGGGGCTGGGGTAGCAGGAGTAAAGCAGAGACGCGGGAACCTGGGCTGGGCTCATGGAGACAAGGATGAGAGAGACCAAGATGCAGAGACCTGACCCTCCAGTCCCCCAGATGGATGCTCCAACTGGTGAGGATCAAATTGGCACTCAAGATGGGACAATGTAGCACCAGGAGGGACACTAGTTGCAATGGATTGAAGCAATCAGATATGTTTAAAGCCATAAATTTATAATTATACTACTAATTTAAAAAAAGCTAATTAGTCACAGTTTGGAGGATGCTAGGGAATCAACTCATTATTTGGAAATTGGTAAATACAAGAACAGAATCAAGCGTTTATCCCATCTTTCCTATATGCGCTGTATTCCACTCAGTAACCAGATAGTAAGCGAGGGGCAGTTTCTCTGTCTAGAATTATTCTGGCTAATAAAGGAAGGAGCGATGGAATTTGAATATCACCATTTTGTAGGAAAAAAAAGAACTGAGGGATGAGGCACTGAGTACCAGTGGCTGCTGTGCCTCTGGATGAAAGAAGTGTCACTACCACCTATGAAACGGTCTTGCCAAAGAAAATGGAACCTACACCTGATCAGGACTCTCGATCCAACTACAATTTACAGGAAATAAGAACGTACAGGAAGGGCCAGCCCGGTGGCCCGGCGGTTAAGTCTGCACGTTCTGCTTCGGTGACCCAGGGTTTGCCAGTTCGGATCCCGAGTGTGGACCTGCTCACGGCTCATCAAGCCATGCTGTGGCAGGCATCCCACATATGAAAAAAATAGAGGAAGATGGGCACGGACGTTAGCTCAGGGCTAATCTTCCTCAAAAAAAAAAAAAAGAATGTATAGGAAATGCAATTTACAAGAAGTACAGAGGTCAGAAGAACATGTTAAAAAACACTATAGAGATGCTATCCGCAAAATTCAGACTGTGGAAAACTACACAACAAATGACCTGGTTCCCTCAAGGAAAAAGAAAGAGCGAGAGAGTTGGCGGGGTAACATAGATTTAAAGAGATTTAAAAGAGACCTATCAATCAGTTTCAGTGTGTGTACCTTATGTGGATCCTGATTCAAACAAATACATTGTAAAAAAAAAATGACATTATGAGAAATTGGAAATTTGAACACTATAGATCTGATATTAAGGGATTATTCTTAACTTTAAGGTATGATCATGTGATTGGGTATAATAATTGTGATTATGTTTAAAAAAAGAGTCATTATCTTTCAAAGATAGACAATGAAATATTGACAGGAAATTAAGTGGGGGGGGGAAATTAAATAAGAGGAGTATAGATGAAATGAGATTGGCCACGAGTGAGAACTCTTGACGGGGTGAAGCGTGATTGATATATGGAGGCTCATTAGAGTATTCTATATACTTTTGTTTGTCCTCTGGAGGGCCAGAGGAGACTTTCGGGGGACTTCCAGCTGGCTCCTGGCACAGTCCCTGGTTGCCTTGGTTTTGGGGAGGGAGAGAAGGACTAGTAAGGAAGGCTGGCTGCTGTGGGCCTGGTGACACTGGGTTCAGGCACTGCCACCTTAAGACAGCTGAGGGTGTGTGTGGGTGGCTCCAAAAATAGCAGGGGAGGCAGCAGGGGAGAGGGCAGGAATCACATGGAGCCAGGAGGGGCTGAGGCCTGGCGACTGACCGGGCTCCGGCACCTCTGCCTGCTCCCCCGAGCCCTCTGGCTCTCCCTCTGCCTCCACAGCCTCTCTTCCTCTTTCCCTCCATCTTGGAGAAGGCAGAGGGGTGCCAAGGTGACTCGGGGACAAACACCGCCCTGTCTGAGAACCTGAGCGGATGCTGACTCTGGAATTAGCTGGCTCTCCAGGGACGGGTGGACGGTCAGGTGGGGAGAGAGAGGAAGGGACAAGGACTAAGTCACTGCCCACCGGTCACCCCAGTCTACAGGCCAACACCCTCCCCCTCAGGCCTGCCTCAGGGCAGGGCCCAGACATCCTTGCCTGGGGCCTTTTTTCATGGGGGTGAGGTGGCAGCACTCTTTGTCCCCAGGCCCAGGAGGGCTGCTCACACAGCCACCAAGAATTTTGGAACCGTGGCATCCATGGGCCCCTGCCTCCTTCTCAGAGCATCAGAGTACCCCTCTGTCTGCTCAGCCCCTGGAGAGAAGGGCACCCCACCCCTTCACCCCTGGACTCAGATCCTTTGGCAGAGGCAGGAAGAAAGAGGAAGCGGGGCCAGCCAGCACCCAGTACCTCAGCGGTGTCATGGATTGAGGAGGCGCTGGGCTAAGCTCTTTATATGCATTCAGCCACTCAGTAGTGTGGCCTTGGGGAAGTTCTACACCCTTGTGCCTCAGTTTTCTTGTCTGTAAAATGGGGACAATAGTACTACCTTCTTCATGGAACTGCTATGGGCATGGAATGAGTTACTCTCTCTAAATACAGATAAAACCTCTGGTGTAGGTGCAGGCGGGGGTTAGCTGTCATGACCCCAAGCAGGCAAGCCCCACACGGGCAGCGGTCTGCTCGTCTCTGTGTCCTCCATGCCTGGTCCGTGGCAGGTGCTTTACAGATGTGTGCTGGCTTCATGATTCTGTGGATTCCTCACAAGGACACCAAGGCGAGCACTATTTTTGCCAGTTTGTAGTTGTGGAAACAGAACCCAGAGAGGGCGACTGAGTCTTTCAAGGACACATATCCAGTAAGTGGTGAAGGCGGGATTCATGTCCAGGCCTGCAGGCCTCAAAGCCTGTGGCCGCCGCCCCACCCCTCTTCCACTCCCCTGTCTCTACCTGTCTTCCCAGACCTGGGCTACACGAGGTGGGGTGCTTGGTCTGAGGATGAGGCTGGGTGAACAGGCACCCTCGTGTGCCCGTAATGAAGTGGTCGCCCAGCCCCCTGCACCTAGTTGCTAGGCCCCATGCCAGGTCCAGGGACACAAAGGTAATAAGATCCTAGTCCACCCCCAGTGCTGTGCACAGGGGTTCAGGGGCCCCCGCGGCCTGGGGGAGGACAGAAGCTTCAGAGAGGAGAGGATGCCTGTGCTGAGTCTGGAAATGTGGGTGGAAGTTTATCAGTCGGACGAGGGCAGGAAGGGAGCTCCAGGCAGAGGGAACAGCTTGTGCAAAGGTGCATAGACTTAGGAGAGCATAACAGGTAGGAGGGCAGCCGAGGGAGGTGGGCAGAAGCCTGGCATGGGGGGTGGTGTGTGAGTGTGAGTGTGAGTGTGTGTGTATGTGGGGGCGTGGGTAGAGAAGCGATTCTAGACGGGATGGCCAGGCATAGGGTGGGCCTGAAAGCCAGCAGCAGCAGGGGAACTCAGGGCAATGGGAGCCATTAGGGGTTTAAGGGGAAACGGAGGCAGTCAGGTTGGTGGTTTAGGAAACCTATTCTGGCCACCAGGAGGGCGCGACTGGAGGGGCCTTGTCACATGAGCAGCATGTCCAGCCTAGATTGGGTGCCTGCTTTGGGTGGGGATGGACAGGGGCCCACTTGCTAAAGCCAGGGCCCAGCTGCTCTGGAACACCTCCCCGTTCCTCCCTCCCTCCTTCCCTCCCTCCCTCCCTCCTCCCTGCTCCTGTCTCTGTCACTCATGGGCAGCCAGGCCAGGCCGGGGCAGCCATGGCTGCAGCAGTAATCTGGATTCCTCTCCTTGTGGGCAAGTTGGGGCCTTCTCAGGGGAGAGGCCCAGGACGAGGGGGTGGGATTCAGGGCTGATGAGATGGAAGTATGGAAGTTCCTCGAGAGAGGGGTCTGGGGGGCTGAGGCAGGGGCCAGAAGGACTTTGGGGTATAAATGCCATGCTCGGCAGGGGGTCCAGGGAACTGGGGCTGGGAGCTGGGCTCTGGGATGTGGGGCTGGGAGCTCTGAGAGTTGGGGTGTCCTAGTCGGGGTGGGCCTGGCAGCACAGGCCCGGAGCGCTGTGGGCCCTTTAATGGGCTGACCGGGACGGCTTCTCCCCAGGCCCAGGCTAAATCTGGCCCTGGGAGGGTGTGGGGCCGCTGGTGCAGATCCTCTTCCCAGGACTCCGGATCCCCTTTGCTCGGCTCCCAGTGGCCTCTAGTGCGGGCCCTGTTCCCCTGTATGTTGGAGGAGGCTGGCGGGGGTCCCAGAATGGCTACCCTCCTCCTCCAAAGGCTCCTACTCTCTCCCCCTCCTCTCCAGCCTGCCACACACTCAGCATGAGGTTCTTTTCCAAGTGAACTTAGCTTGAACCTCCCCCCAAATCCGCCACACTCACTCACACCCCCCCACACCGCCTCCAGCCAAACATCGGTCCTTGCCCACTTGACCCCAACAGGGGCCTAAAATGGGGAGTGGGGGGTGGTCTGGTTGGGGCTCGTCATGGATTAAAGCGTGTGGCACAGGCAGGCCTCTCTCTGTCCTTTCCTGGGAGCCAGCAAAGGAGCCCCCCTCCCTCACATGCTTCTTTCGGTCCCTGAGGGGCACCAGGGACATGGTTGGGAAGGGGAGCTTATCCCCTGCTCAGAACTGAGGCTGGTCCGTGTGTTTGGGGTTCTGGGTCCCCACAGGTCTCCTGGCAGGGCTGGGGGACACCGAGACCCAGCAGACCACCCTGCACCCGCTTGTGGGCCGCGTCTTCGTGCACACCTTGGACCACGAAACCTTCCTGCACCTTCCCGAGCATGTCGGTGAGAGGGCCCGATGGGCACCCGGGGGAGCTGGGGGTGCCTGGCCCCGCGCTGGTGAAGGCTACTGTCGTGTCTCCAATCCCCTCTCCTCCCTTCCACCAGCTGTCCCACCCACCGTCCCTGTCACCTACCACGCCCACCTCCAGGGACACCCCGACCTGCCCCGGTGGCTCCGCTATACCCAGCGCAGCCCCCACCACCCCGGCTTCCTCTATGGCACCCCCACACCAGAAGATCGCGGACAGCAGGTCATCGAGGTATCAGCAGGGACCCCACGGGGCTGTGTCACATGTGTGTGCTCCTTCAAGTTCATTTACATAATTTACATGCTTCTAATTTGGTGGCATCTCAGTCCTTTCCTGGCAGGCCCCAGCTGCACCATTTCTCCACTAACCCCACCTCTCAGCCCTCTTCCCCGTCCTCCCCCAGGTCATAGCCTACAATCGGGACAGCTTTGACACCACCCGGCAGAAGCTCTTGCTGTTGATTGAGGACCCTGAAGGTACCACCGGGCCCACCCCACGCCCACCCCAACAACACCAGTCCTGGGGGATCTCTCCTGGAAGGTGGGGTGTGGAAGGGAGAGACTTGGAGAGTAGTGGGGAGCAGGGCATTCTGGAAAGACTCTGAGGTGTATTCTTGGCTGCTTTGCTGACAGTCTTTGGGGCCTTGGGTGAGTCATTGAGGCTGGGTGTTTGAGAAGAGCTTTTGGGACCTGCGACGTGCGTGCTAGGGAGGAAGGAAGGGTCTGGGGGGGGTGCGGGGAGGAGCTTGGGTCGGGTCAGGCTCGGGAAGGATCCATGCAGGGCTGAGTGCAGCCTGAGGTGCCAACCCGGCCCTTCCAGGCCCCCCGCTGCCATACCAGGCTGAGTTCCTGGTGCGCAGCCATGACGTGGAGGAAGTGTTGCCCTCGTCGCCTGCCAGCCGCTTCCTCACTGCCTCGGCGGGGCTCTGGGAGCCGGGGGAGCTCCAGCTGCTCAACATCACCTCTGCCTTGGACCGTGGGGGCCGCGTCCCTCTTCCCATCGAGGGCCGCAAGGAAGGGTAGGTATGCAGCCCAGGAGGGCTTCCTGGAGGAGGAGGAGGAGGCAGCTTGCCTTTTGTCTGTGTGGAGGGCATAGAATATGGGTCTCCCTAGCTTCCAGGTGGGGCTTTACCCACCTTTGCACACCCTCACCACACCCGTCTGCACCTCGCTGCTTCACACCACTGTCCACTTCCCTCCGGCCGCCCCTCATCTCCCTCTTGCCCTTCCTGGGTCCAAACCCTAGTTACCCTGAACTCTGCACTTCCTGGTGCCCCACAAGGACATGAAAGATCCATCCGTTAAAGGACATCCTGGGGGGATAAGACCCCTTAGAAGACTAGAGTGTTCCTGTGTCCTCTCACATAACCCCAGATCTCAGGATGGGCCTGTAACCTCCAAATCTCCAGTGCCCCACCCAGACATCCCTCCAGTTCGCTGACGGCAGCTTCTATCTGGGCCCAGGGTGTACATCAAGGTGGGCTCTGCCTCACCCTTCTCCTCCTGCCTGAAGATGGTGGCGTCCCCCGACAGCCATGCTCGCTGTGCCCAGGGCCAGCCTCCACTTCTGTCCTGCTATGACACCTTGGCACCTCACTTCCGTGTTGACTGGTGCAATGTGTCCCTGGTGAGGAGGGACCCTGGCTTTGGGTGGGGGTGTCCCGTGGCCCCATCACAGTCTCTTCCCTACCCCCCTTCCCATCCCAATCTTTCTGTCCCCATTTCTTTCTCTGATTATCTGCTTTCTCTGTCTCTGTCTCTCTGTGTCTGTCTGTCACACACACACACACACACACACACACACGCAGTCTGTCACACACACACACACACACACACACACACACACGCACGCACTGAAGTTCCATCTTCTCCCACAAGAGGGAGACAGAGTCCATAATCCAGACAGACACAGACTCAGAAATCCCAGATATACCCAACACAAGGGCTAGAACAGTCTCTCCCACAGGGCAGTTCCAAAACCCTTTCCCCAACAAGGGCCTCTGTGTGACAGCTCTGTCTGCTTCCTTCTAGCGTGTCACCTAGCAAATCTGCCCACAAGGAACAGATAGCTCTCATCCCCATGTAATAAGCCAAAGACGCTCACTACTGCTCTTTGGTATATGGGGCCGAGGAATCCGGGGTCCCTGGAGACCCTGACTCCCGGGGCTGGGAACCCCGGAGCACTCTGGTCCTGTGAAGTGTCTGACAGCGCAGCCAGGGCCTGGTCCTCAACCACATTCTGGAGCACTTGCTCCGCACTGGGTACGATGCAATCAACATGTTTTATCCTCACAAATCACCCCAGGAGACAGTGCCTCTATTAGCATTCCGACTTTACAGGTGAGGAAACTGAGGCACCGAGACGTAAATCATTGCAGCAAAGCACTGTCTGAGACAGAATTCAACCCAGGCAGTCGGACCCTGGAGCTGTGCTCTTAACCATTGTACAGTCCATCCTCTCCCGGGCTTGTCCTGCTAGTCACCCAAGCTGGGGGAGGCAGGCAGGAGGAAACCCTGTTGTTGCAAGGGGCAATAGGTAGAGTGGCCCCAGAACCCCTGCCCTGTGCCCCGGTGGTCTCTGTGTCCAGCTAGCCGCTCCTGGGTCAGCCATGGACTTTCTGAGCAGGTGGATAAATCAGTGCCAGAGCCTGCAGACCAGGTGCCCACCCCTGGTGACGGGATACTGGAGCATGACCCGTCCTGCTCGCCCACCAAGGCCACAGCCCGAGACTTCCTGACTGACGCACTGGTCACCCTCCTGGTGCCTCTGCTGGTGGCCCTGCTGCTCACCCTGCTGCTGGCTTATGTCATGTGCTGCCGGCGGGAGGGACGGTGAGTGTGGGGGACGGACGCAGGGAGGGCCCTGTGGCTGGTGCTCAAATCTGTGGGACTCCTTGTGGCACTTGTGCTGTGTGGGGACCCAGACCCCTCAGGGAGTGGGGTCCTCAGCCAGGAAAGGAGTGGGGGACCCTTTGCTGGGCAGCTCAGGGCTTGGGTCCTGCTCGGCTTGGCACCAGGAGGGGCTTGTGGATAATAGTTAATCCCCTCCCTCGCTTTTCTACAGGCTGAAGAGAGACCTGGCCACCTCTGAGTGAGTAGGGGAAGCTGGGGGTCGGGTGGGAGCCCCCTTAGACTGTCAAGCTGGACCCACCAGCCTTCATGAGCATCGTAGACAAACCAGATTATTCTGGGATGATGGGACCACCTTTGGCCACTGAGCTCCTGCCCTGGGCTGGGTGGATGTTGGGCCTGGCCTATCCTGAAATCCCAGGGCATGGCTCCTCATTTTCTGGTCTCCATGGAACAGCCTAAGTAGAATGAGACAGGGGAGGGGACCTGGCCAGGCTTTGGGGATCTGCTGCCACCCTGGGGGAAAGGGTTGAGAAGCAATTTAAGAGGATTCCCGCTGGCATTCATGCACACACACAGAAATGCACACACCCCCACTTCACTGTGAGGCGGGCACTTGGGTTCCAGACCCAGTTCTGCCACACAATCACTGTGACCCTTTCTGGCCTCAGTTTCTCCACTTGTGATGTGGTCGGACTAGCTAATGTCTGTGGATGCTTTCAGCTCCTCCAGCCCTTCCCAAATCCATCTCGCCTTTATTTTGCCCAGGTTTCCCTGACCCGTGGCCTCACCCCTCCTGTGTACCCAGCCCTCTCGCTCTCCTGCGCCCTTGAACCCCAGAGATTCCAGGAGGCAGGTGTGAAATAAGTCAGGTTCCTTTTATTCCCGCTGCGCGGAGCCTGTGGCAAGCCTGGCACCACTGCCTGCTTGCCCGGCCTGCCTTGTTAATTGCGGCGGCATCTGGCCGCTCTGTGGACCCCCTTGACTGGCCGCTTGTGCCCCTGTTTGGAGCCCAGGAACAACCTGCGCTGCCCAGGCTGGCGCTGCTCAGGCCGGCGTGGCCCAGACCGGCGTGGCCCAGACTGTTGTCGCTGCTGCCGCCGGCTTTTGGCCTTGAGCTTGAACTTGGAGGCCGGCTTCTTCCTGATGCAGAAGGAGCCTGAGGCCCCCTTGCCGGTCACCTGCCTGAGCACGCCTTTGTCCACCAGCCGCTTGAGCACTCGCCTGAAGCGCCAGGCGTTGCAGGTCATGTTGTAGCCGGAGGTGGCGACGGCCTTCCTCAGCGAGGTCATGGATATGCGGCTGTACGCCCCCTTGTCCGCCATAATCCCGAGGATCACCTTGGATATGTTGGGCTTGGTTTGGCAGGTGTGGTGTCCAGGCTCGCTCTTGCCAGGGGCTCCTGACACGCTGGCCTGCTGGCCTGCACCCAGGGGGGTGTTTGAGGCCAAGGGTGCAGATGGTGGTGGCAGCGAAGGGTCTTTCTGCATCTCTCCCTGGGGTGGGTGAAGGGAACTGGGTACGAGGACCTCCAGGATGGCAGCTGGAAGTCTTCACTGGGGTGCTCCTCGGTGGGTAAGGTGTGCCCTGGGTCCTGGTTCCCTCAGAGGCTTCCTTTCAGGGCTCTGGCCCCAGCCTTCCCCTGGGTGGCCAAAAGGAGGACCAAGGATGATCACCCACGGCTGGCCTCAGCAGACTTGTGCCTTGAGCATAGGGGATGGTAAGGTTATCTCTGTGGTGACCTGAGGGGGACATTGTGAGGCCACCAGAATCCTGTGAGGGTCATAGTGGCCTCATTGTTCCCTCCTGGGAGGGACGGACGGGAGATGCCAGATAGTGTGGGCATCTGACATGCCAGGTACCCTGGGAAGAAGGGTTGTGGCCGTGTGGGCCAGACAGGCAGACCCATATGATGTGTGCGTGCACAAGCAGGGGCATATATGCGTGAGTGCCGACTGATTCCAGGGTCTTCTGAGACCCCAGCTTTAAACCCATTGTGTTGACCCCACCAACTTAACCTATTGGGTTGAGCAATACAAATATTTTTAGAATCAGAATTATACCAGCATTTATGAATTTTTGTGGGGAATATATTTTCCAGAGTGAACAGAAATGTCATTCCTTGCTCTACCTAAATCAACTTAATTCTTTGATCAACTTTCTATACAAAGCAATGAAAAGGCTTTGCTTTTTTTTCTGTTTTCATTTTTTTTTAGATAGAGTTTTTTTCGTGTTGGGATGAGTGATTTTCTATGTAAATTTTACGAGGAGGATTTTATTCCTCAATTTTTTTGGCCTGTGCCAAATTTGATCAATTGTATCTTGTGCTATTGTGGATATTCTCTTCTGACCAGCTATTTCCACTACATCCAGCTTTTCTGGGTCAGGTTTGTAGCCCTGATGGTGTCAGGAAAATCGACTTCCTCCATCAGTTTTGAATCAATAACCAATTTTACCGTGTACAATATCGGCCCTTGTTGGTTTGACTTTTGTGTTGATTTATTTCTACAAAATCCATTTTTTTTTCTTGCTCAATGTCTATCATTTTTCAAATCATCTGCAAATTGTGATTCTGCTGCCTGTTTTCACCTCTATCTGGTCAGAAAGTTCTCCAGCCCAATGAGCCTCTCCTGTGGTCTGTGTGCCAGAGGAGAGGCTGTATGTTGGTGGTGGAGAGTGTGTGTGTGTGTGTGTGTGTGTGTGTGTGTGTGCAGGCATGTATGTGCAGGAAGGCCTGCCCATTTGTGTCTGCCCAAGTGCTGATGTGGAAGGATGTGGGGGCAGCACTGCGGGTCTGGCTCCTGCTCCTGCTCTAGAAAAACATCCTCAGAACATTTTTCCACCTGTGTGTGTTGCCAGAGTAATGAGACCCAGATGTGGGGCCGGGGGCTGGGAGGGGCCCATTAACTAAGGCCCTTCCTCCACTGGGGGCATTACCTGCCTGGCTGCCTGTGGCCCTCGGCATCCACACGCTCCTTACTTCCTCTCCCCCCTCAGCCTTCCTTGCCTGGGAATGGAAAACAGTGTTTTGGACAACTCTGCTTGCCAAATTCCAGAATCAAGAGCTCATCTTGACCCTCCCCTGGCCTTAGAGGGTGACTCCACCTCCTCCCGCCAGCCTGACGGGACTTGGTCCTACTCCCCCCAAGGAGGAGCATGGCTCATTCAGCAGGAAGCTAGAAAGTCCTTCCAGTAGTCTAATCTCTCAGGCTCTAGCTGGAGCCTGTGCCACTAATGGAGATGTGGACATGGGTGACGACCACTTGCCTCCCTTATTTGACCAGTAACCCAGTGACAAGCAGGGTTGTTTCTGCCCTACCTGGGCCCTCTCCCCTTTAAAAAAACAGTTCTTATTGCTGGTAATGAAAAGTCCTTGCCGTCTGTCTGACCCAGCAGCCAGGTAGTCTGGGAGGACATCTCCAGGCTGAGCCCACAAATGTGAGTGGTTTCATGCAAAAGAGCTTGGAAATATCCCTCCACTGGAGGCCAAGTTCATCAGTGGGCCTACTATAATAAGATAATACTGATGATGATAATAGTAACTGAAGGCTCCCTAGAATAATAGCTACCACTTGCTGCATGCTGACCAGAAGACATTCTAAGTGTTTTTCCAGAATGAACTCATTTAATTCATGTAACAACTGCGTTAAACTTGAGAAAATCGTGGCACAGAGAGGTTAACTAGCTCACACAAGGTCACACAGCCAGTAAGCAGAAGAATTTACATTTAAACCCAAAGCAAGTCCTCATGCTTAACCATTATGCTGCCCTACTTCTCAGAATGAACTAAAGCTTGCCCCTGGACAGCAGAAAGCAAGACTGAGAGAGTCAAATGAGAACGAAGCTGAACCTTCTGGGGAGAAACGGGCTAGAGCTCAGGAGGGACTTCCTGAGGTGTGTGGCCACCAGTCCACTCAGAGCTGCTGGGATTTCCAGCCTGTTGAGGGTGGAGCCTGGTGCTGGCCTCCAGGAGCCTTGGTTTGAAACAAAGATGGGGAGACAGGACTCAGTGTGTGGAGCTGGTCCATGCTGGGGGCCGACTGGGGTGGGAGTGGGAGGGGTCAAAGTATGGAGGGAGCGAGGGACAGGTCTGAGGAGCCAGAAGATGAGAAGGTCAAGGCATGGCAGCAAACAGCTTGGGCAAAAGCTAGGAGGTGGGAAAAGATGGAGGAGGTGTGTTTGCCAGATTCAGGGATGGGGGAGCTGAGGAGGACTGAAGTTCAGTGGTGGGAGAGGGCGTTAGCGGAGGGAGCTGAGTGCCAGAAGGGACTGGAGGGTCGTATATCCACTGGAGACACATGTCCACTGGGGATATCTATCCATGTCTTGGTATCTCGGGAGCTCTTACCACGCGCCAGGCACATTTCTAAACACTCAGCCTGCATTTTCTCCTTTAATCCCCACAACAATCCTGGGAGGTAGCTTCTATTATTATCCCCATTTTACAGTTGAGGAAACTGAGGCAGAGAAGTGGTTAAGCAGCTTGCAAAGGACACACAGCTTTAAATCCAGGCTGTTGACACACAGAGCCCAGGCCTCAGTCACCGGGCACTGAGCTGGTACCACAGAGCTTTCTGTGTGTGAGTCTCCCTCAACATAACGGGGGAAGACTGCAGGGTGGCTCGGACGGAGTGCCAGGCTGAACCCCAAAGGGGGGCGCTGACTCCCAGAGCTGATGACTCTGCCCGCCCTGTGCCCCAGCATCCAGATGGTCCACCATTGCACCATCCGCGGGAACACGGAGGAGCTGCGACAGATGGCAGCTAGCCGAGAGGTGCCCCGGCCACTCTCCACCCTGCCCATGTTCAATGTGCGCACAGGCGAGCGGCTGCCTCCCCAAGTGGACAGCGCTCAGGTGCCCCTCATCCTGGACCAGCACTGAGGGCCCACACTGAGGCCCCGCCCAGGTGGGTCTGGCTGGGCAGTGCCAGCCTCATTTCTGGGAACGGGTGGCCTCCGTCTCAAGGCTGGGGCAGGTGGTGGAGGATGGGGGATGTCAAGGGAAGAGGCACACAGACCTGCCTGCCCCTTAATGGGGTGGCTCATCAGTGCCAGGGCTATGCCCCCCAGTGCCAAGCTCTTGGGGTCAGAGAGTCAGGGTAGGGAAGGCAGGAGAACCAAGGCCTGGTCCTCACAGGCCCCCACTCTCTCTTCCCTCTGCTGTTCCAGTGCCAGCCCTGGCCTCGTCCTCCCTTCTCTCCCTACTCACAGAGCAGCCACAGCCCACGGGCACACCCTTCCTCCTGATTCCGGCTCCCAGCCCGACGGACCCCAGGCTTGGAATGAGCAGAGAGATGGGGATGGGGCAGGGAGAGGGTCGCCCAGAATAAATACCTGCTGCTCTGCTCCTCCCTTGCTGCCAGCGCCTTCCTCTCAGGAGCACCCGAGCCTTGTTGCCTCTGTTTCCTGCAGAAGCGGCCAGGGGCTGCCAGCCTGCCCTGTGGACTCCTGCCATTTTGCCGTTTTCTCAAATTCTCTGGAAGAAAGAAGGAACGACATGCATATGTGGCCCTGGTCTTAATCCTCACATCACGCCAACAGTGAGGGCTTACTGGATCATTATTCCCATCTTCTAGACAAGGAAACTGAGGGCCAGGGAGAATCTGTGACTCACCCAAGGTCACAGAGCTAGCAAGTCACAGAGTATGGATCCCACTGTGGCGTGTCCACCTGCACACTGCCTTCTGGAGGGTTGAAGGGTCCTGGAGGCAGGAGATCCAGGCTCTTACCCATCCAGATCCCCTGGAGGGGGAACCCATTGGGTAGTTGTGTAGGGAGACGAGCCCATCTAGATACGGAGAGAGGGGGTGGGGGGCAGGACCCTGAGTGCCCAGGCTCAATGACCCCCTTCCAGTGCATTCCTCCAGGGACAGAGCTGAGGTCTGGAGGACACTGCACAGCCTGGACATTGAACTGAGTGTCACCAGCTTGGCTTGGTGTCCATGTGAGCCCTGGACACCTCAGCTGGCTAGGGAGCGGCCCCAGCTCCTGTTTCCTAGGTGGCTACAACCAAAACAGGCCACTCCCCCATCCACTGCCATTCTGAGCCACACCTGGTCTCACATCTGACTCCTCGAGGGGACAGGCCAAAGACTAAGGCCCAGAGGGGACCTGGACAAAGGAGAGGGAGCAGAGGAGCAAGGACTAATGGCCCAGGCCCCTGACCCAGGTGGCAACTCCAAGAGAATCCTAACAAAGGCAAGACGCCGACAGCCCTGGGCCTCTAGATCCTTTTGTGCTGCACCCGCCAGGTCCTGGAACCACTCTCCGTCCTGGGGCTGACTCCCAATCTTCCCTTCTCCCTGGGGTGTGGGTGGTGTAGATTGGGGCCCACAGGGAGTGTCCACCACCTGGAGACAAGGGCCCAGCCTGGGGGCTGTTTCAGGGGTGGGGGGTGCAAGTGCCTCCTGTGCCAAGGATCCCCGAGGAGGGCTGAGTTTCTGCATACCGCCTCCTGGTGCTCAGAGCTGTGTAGGCAAGGGGTCCTGAGGGCCCCAAATTGTCCTTGGACCCCCCTCCCCTTTGTCTCACTCCCCAGAATCCCCACCTTCATTGCATGTCCTGAATCCAGCCACTTCCCAGGCTCCATCTGACCTTCCCAGTCCAGCCCCAGGGCCTCGCTTCTGGACCCTGGCCACCGCCTCCAGTGGTTCCCATGCCTGCAGCAGCCAGGCCCAGTCTTTAAAGGAAAGATCCAGGTGTCTTGTCTTCCCGCTCTCAAGCCTCTGATGCCTTCCTTTCACATGAGGGTAAAATCCAGCCCCCGGCCAGGCGTGCGGGCCCCATCCACCTCTCTGACCTCACCACCCCGCTCTCCCCTCCCTCACCTGCTCCGCCATGCTGCCTCTAAGCACACTCCTGTTTCAGGGCCTTTGCCTCTGCTGTTCCATCTGCCGGGAACCCCCAGCCCCCAAATCCACACAACTCCCCCGCTCCCTACCATCCTTTTGGTCTCCATCCAAATAGTAGCTCCTCAGGGAGGCCTCCCCCCTCCTCAGACAGCCCCCTCCACCCCGGCCTCCAAGACACCCTGCACAGCACTCCTTCTTCCTGAGAAGATGCTCTGCATGGGTGCTGCTCAGGGCTGGCTTCTGCCCTCGATGTGCTCCAGGAGGACAGGATTCTGTGTGCTCCCAGGGGCGTGGTGCCTGCACAGAGCAGGCGCTCAGGAAAGATGTTCCAAAGGAACACTTAGAGGCAGGCCATCAGGTCTGGGTTGCTCAGAGCTCTTAAGGGGGTTGCTCCTCCTCTCTGGGCAAAGGGGGTGAAGAAGCTATTGCTCAAGCTTCTGCCATTATCTTCTGTCCCACCTCCCTGTGGGGCATCCCATATCCATTAATTAGTTAACCCCATAAGCATCTTTGGAGGCAGGTGGAGGCCCAGTGCTGGCTCATCTCTGTTGAGATGTGTTGACTGAATGGTTCCGCAGGTGCTCACCCCCCAACCACCTGGGTTCTCTGACCAAAGGGCATCTCTGACTTCTCATTGGGATTTACTCTTGTCCCTGGGGGTGCCTCGTGTGGTGAAAACGAAGCATTGCACAGAATCTGCTCAGAATGGAGGTTCGTAGCAGCCAGCCTGCTGTCTAGGGTGGCTCTTCCTTGATCCCTGTCCCTTGAGGAGGGGGCTGCCCTCTCCCTGCCTCTGTGCTCCACCCCCCTGCAGCCAGGCAGGGCCTCTGTGCGCTTCCCATGCCAGCCAGGGATGGGAGAGTTCAAGGCCAAGCCCTCGCTTCCCTCTGCTTCCCAGCTTTGCCCTGGGATCTTGGCAGCGCCTTCCTCCCAGCTCAGCTCCAAGGAGCGCACGGGAGCCTGGCTGCCAGCCTGGAAGGAAGTGGCCCAGACAAGCAGCTGGGAGGATGGCGTGACTGCAAAGGACACTGAGCCGTGCCTGGGCACACACACGAGCACGCTCAGCCACCCCTGGCAGCATATGGGGAGGGCACGGACACACCCAGCCCCCCTTGACTCATTGAGGGGTAAGAGTCCACCCGGGAGTCACACTCCACCCCCCCACCCCCAACAGCCGAGGACAAATAGACACAGCGTCCCCAGCGTCCACCTCCTTCCACTCTGAGACTGGACCTCACGCCCCACTCCAACCCTGTCTCCTCCAGTCCCACAGCCAGCACTGCCCATTGTGACGCAGTGCACAGCCTCTACCTTCATCCTAAACACAGCCCCCATGCATGGCCTGACCCTGGACAGTTCCTCACCACGTCTCAATGGACAAGAGGGATCCCTGCTAGACATGGGGACTCAGAGCACCCCCTACAACTGGCCTCAGCCCCACGTGCCCCCTTCTGCCTCATTCTCTTTTTTCTTTTTTTGAGGAAGATTAGCCCTGAGCTAACATTTGCTGCCAATCCTCCTGTTTTTGCTGAGGAAGGCTGGCCCTGAGCTAACATCCGTGCCCATCTTCCTCTACTTTACATGTGGGACGCCTGCCACAGCATAGCTTGCCAAGCGGTGCCATGTCTGCACCTGGGATCCGAACCAGTGAACCCCAGGCTGCTGAAGTGGAATGTGTGCACTAAACCGCTGCTCCACTGGGCTGGCCCCTACCTTATTCTTGAAACACACACACACCCCGTTTCCCAGGGAGCTCACTCGGTGCATTTGTTGGGGTTTGGGGTCAGAGCAAGCAGGGCTGGAATCTCAGCTCTGACGGTTAGTTTACTCATAGACATTATCATAACTGCTCTGGACTGTTGTGAGTATCTGTGAGGACCAGGCAAGTGCCCGGCATTTGCTAGCTCCCCAAGTGGAGCCATTATTACATACAAACATTCGCACGATCCCTCCCAAACCAGGGGTCGTGGGGTCTCCCTGCCCCCTCAGATCCAGATCAAATGGGCTCAGTTTCCATTCTGCACCCTGAGAAGAGTTCAAGCTCTCCCTGTGAGTTAGGGTGGAGGCTGGAATCCACACTGCTTGGCCCTGATCTGCTGTCTGATGCTGCGCTGTCTGGTACGGCAGCCGCGGGCCATGTGTGGCCACTGCCATGGAGCACTTGAAATATGGCTGGTCCCAAACAAGATCTGCTGCAAATGTAATGACGGAATGACAATATTTGGGGACACATGAGGTTAAATAAAATGTTATTAAAATTAACTTCATCCGTTTTAAAAATGTTTTTAATAGGGCTGCTAAAAAATGAAAAAGTACATATGTGGCTCACATTATATTTTTACTGTGCCTGTTTCACAGCTCTTCCTTAATCTCCACTCCAGATTGACCCAAGCCCAAAACTCAGCCCCTTTCCTTGCTTTCTCCAGAACGTCTGCTTGCACGGGCCTCTGTGCACTCATCAGAGTTTTCCAAAGCCTTGAGGAGCAGGAGAGGTTTGCCCCACAACAGTGAAGTCACCTAGAACTTGAATCTGTGGCCTCCTTGTTCTAAAACGTACTTTGGTCCCCGGGCCACCCCATCCCCCTCTTCCTCCTCCTGTCTTATGCAGAGACAACCCCACGCTCTCAGCACCTCTGCACCAAACTCACCTCCCTCCGGGCCTTGCCATGTGCATCCTCTGCAAAGCTTGAAACTCCTGTGTCCGTGTATGAGGCTCGGATTACCCTCCTAGGCAAGGGCCGTCCTTCCAGGGTCTTGCCTCCTGGTCTGTGGACATCTCTCAGTCCTACTTGGTACCCTCTGGAGCACACATCAGGAAGGGGACACAGAGATGCAGCCACTCACCGGCACTCAGGCCCCACTGCCTTTAGGACGGTAGTCTCCCACCACACCCAGCCTCTCCAAATTTTCCCCCACTGCTCCTGGCTCTACCGGCCCCCATTCATCCTCACCTCACAAACAGACGCCCCATGCCCTCTCTCAGACCTCTGCATGCTCACATCCCCAGTGCCACATCCCAAAGCATTTTCAGTTCACATTGCATCTCTTCTGCTGCTACGTGTGTAGAGAAGCTGTCCCCACATAGACAGACCCCTGTCTGTCCCCAACACATCCACTCATGGATAGGGCCCCTCTGGACACAGACACATATGTTCATGGGGGGTGGGCACCCAGAGAGTGAGACACATTCTCATCCACACAGGAACAGCTGGGTTAGACCCACCTCACTCACGTACACAGCCTCCCACACTCACTGCCCCCATGCAGCCTCCTCCCGGGGGTCCTGGCTTTGAGACCAGCCACACGTTTTCTCACAGCAGACCCATGCTCACTCCTGTTTCACACAGCCCTGTGTGCTCCTGATCTGAGGCTCCCACACTCCAGCTAGGAGGCCCCCCTCCACCACTGCCCCCGTCCCCTCGCCCAGCTCCATCCAGGAAAGTCTTGCAGACACCAGGAAAGCTGAGGGCCAAGGAGCTGGAAAAAAAAGGAGGGAAA